TGTTAAGTTTAGAGTGACGAGGTACGTACTCACTGTGAAATTACTGTGTATTAAAAGTTTGTGTTGAGGAAAAATAAAACTGAGTTAATCAAAAAAGAACTCGTATCGCTGAAGTTTCTCGGAAAGAATTTTTACCGGAAATTAACAAACAAGCAGATGTGCAACAATATCATAATCCTCAAAGAAGAAACCCACTAAAAAGAGTTGGTAAATGGACAGCTTAATGTATTGTTTTATCTGTGTTTCAGGAGAGTTCAAGAGACTTCACAATCCATGAAGAGGGCATTGTAAGCTATATTTTCAATGTTATAATTAAATTGTTTGCTAGAGCTGCTAATTGTGATGATGTAACAATCGAGAATCTTCATCTGATATCGAGAGACAATTGTAGGTTATTTATAAATGGGAATAGGCAGTTAGTGAAATTACTGAGTAGTCAATGAGTTTATGAGTTCAGGGTCAGAAAAGTTGTTCAAAGTTAAAAGTGAGATGGATCATGTCTATTCGGTTACTCAGATAATTATAAGGCAAATTATGTAAATATGCTCATTTGTGAGTTATACATATTTACTATTAATAAAGGAAACTTCTCTTAAATAATCTTAGTATATTAGTGCTACAGTAGTTACAATAGTATCTGTTGAATAGTTTTGTATTTGAATCTAGGTACAAGTGAAAGTGTCTGTAGTATCATTAAAGAAAAACATTATTTATTTGTTATTGATACATGGTCTGTATATCGTATTAGTTTTACCAAATGATAATAATAAAACAGTAGACAATAAAACAACGTTACAACAATTTGTTTCTGTGTTTTCTAGAGCAGATAATGTTTATTCTACCAAAGGAGATATTATAGTAATATATATAATCCATGCTGATAGGACCACCGACTGTAATATTCTATACTAGCCGAAATGACGACGTCTCTATGCTACAGCCGACCAATACTGTGAGAGAACAAGGATTACGAATTTAAACGCCCTTTCTTGTTTCAGTTTTGCTTCTAGATATTTGAGATCATCGTATTTTAGTTCTGCAGAGGTAAATCCTTAGAAAGTGGAAGCTGTGAGACTAAACACTACTTTGAAGATAATCAACTATGGTCCTTTCTGCGTGCTCCCCAGTGGCACAGCGTTAAGTCTGTGGACTTATAACGCTAGAATCTTGGTTTCGATACCCGTGGTGGGCAGAGCACAGATAGCCCATTGTGTAGCTTTATGCTTAATTACAAACAACAACCCTTCTGCGTAAATACATACGGCGCATATACTTTTTATGTGATAATAAATATTGTGTCTGTTTCATTCAAAACTGTGTTGCGTGAGCGAAGTCATATGACTAATGTCACGCCACTTCTCTCGAACCTTCGGGAATAGTCGGAAGATTACTAGATATAGGGTAGTCTTGTATATATATAAGAGGGTGACAACGTGACGGAACAATGTGTGTGTAGACAATGAGTAATTGATCTGCAGTCAGAGAGTATTATTGAGCACGTTCGTTGTTATAGTCGTTTGTTTTAGCGCGATTTAGG